ATTGTTTTTTACCATAAACTAGTTTCAGAGCTGAACAACAGAGAAAATTTCTAAAATCAACATCTTTAGTAACATTTATTAACATTTTATTTTAACATTTTATATAAACCGCGTGGAGCGGTTTATATAGCGTCATATAAGAAACCGCGCGACCAATCAGATTATTCGACGATATTCACCGAACCTGAGGCGAATAATTGTTTTTTATCATAAACTAGTTTCAGAGCTGAACAACAGAGAAAATTTCTAAAATCAACATTTTTAGTAACATTTAATAACATTTTATTTTAACATTTTATATAAACCGCGTGGAGCGGTTTATATAGCGTCATATAAGAAACCGCGCGACCAATCAGATTACTGGAAACTCTTTGCTCAGCTCTGAAATTATACTAATGTAAATTAGCCACCGCAAACAGTTTTTTAAAGTTTGCATTTCGAGCTTTAAACCTAACGTCAGCTTGACAAGCTCTTTACGGTGCCCAACCTACGCAATCAACGAAATCGATAAAACTACATTTATCGTTGCTTGATAGCTTATTCAATCTGTATTTTTCTCATAGTTTTTGTATTTCTTAATGACATTTCCATACTCCACTGAAGTGTTTTGTCTGTCTGTCTGTTTGTTTGTTTTGCTGTATTTGTCTTTTTTCTTTTTTGTTTGAGTTTGAGTCCAACTCTCGTCTATCAAACTCATCAAGATTGCACCTCACATAATGAGTGATCAATTCCACTTAAAAATTGTGCTGTTCTTGTGACACTGTACTAACAACACTGTGCTAACAAGTTTTCCCAAGATCCCAACTCGACAGAGGAAATTCTTTTAACAGACACTTAACAATTTCTAACTTCTTTGTTCTCACTTGTTTCAACAAATTACCTTACGGGCTTGTTTCTCTGCTTCTCTGTAGAAGTTTGTCTCCTCTAAACCAAAGGCATACATACCAAAGAGATACCTGCAGTTAAAGTAAATGCTATATATCAGGAAAATCACGTGGCTTATCATAAATGGCTACAATGACATTGCTTTTTGTTTTCAATTGTTACCTAGCACAATCAAGATACTAGATAACAATTTCCAACCCCCTAAAAAATTATTACACCAGCCATAAGAGTAGGACTAATTAAGTATGGGGTTTTATAGTTGCCTCATGGGTTACCAGCATTTATGGGTATTTTCTTAAAGAGCCTAGATGGATTTTAACAGAATTATAATGCCTATCACACCATAAAATTAGTCCAATTAAAGAGCTTACAAGGAAAACCTCAAACCATGTGATTGCACACCGTAATTTAACACATTAATTTTTATATTTAATATTTTCATATGTTACAAATTACAAGTACAGTTACAACTGCCAGAAAAATATCAGATTTCATTCCCACAATTGTAAAGTCAATTTACATAATACTATGTAGGATTACTCATAGACAATATAATAATTTATTACATGACTCGGGCAGTAGAGGGCCAATAACTAAAATCAACCAATCAAAATGCTCTATTGCTGAATGGTCAATATTCTCTCAGTATTGGACCGGGCACTGTCCCAAATGGTCCCAAATGATACCACAGA